CTTGGTAGATGTTGTCCTTCCAGAATCCAAGATTTGGTCGAGGGTGGAAGTGTTGTTCATCATTTTAATTATCCTTTTGAGCATGTCCAACTCTTGTTTGAGTTCTTCTTCGTGTTTGAGTCCGTCTTTGATGATGTTGTCCCTGTCAGTAATTTGACTTTTATACACTTTCCTAGCATTCTCTAGATTACTGACTTGACTAGACAGAGATCTATTTACTTTACAGGAATTTCCCATTTTGCATGCAACTTTTTATATTCTACTTCAAATGAGGGAACTGGTAAATCATGGTGTTCAGCCGACACATATTCTCCAGCTTCTAAGTCTACTTCAGTTCCTGGGTCAGACTCCATGTTGGCTATAGCAGTGAATAGCACAAGGTTACCGGAGATCTCTTCTGGATCAGATCCTGGATCAGGGTCAGGTTTAAGTTCGTCATCATCACTCCAGGTTAGAGCTGCCTTCATCGACTTCTTACGCCTAAGGTATGTTGCGCATTCTGCTCGAACATGGCCGAAACCTTCACATTCATAACACCTAATACCTTTTCCATTTGATTTCTCCCTAGACTGATTGTTTCGTGATGAACGAATATTATATGGTCCAGGTTTTTGGTTGTTACGTGATGCGTTTGATGTTGATCCCTTCTGGTTTTGAAACCTTCCATTTTGAGAGTTGATCATCTGTTTCACCTGTTTCAAAAGCTTCAAAAATTGTTTAGTTAAAAATTCAATTGGATCATCATTTACCTCGTCTGGATCAGATATAGACTCATGTTCTTCAACTGTAAAGGCAATGTTCTTCTTCTTTTTTGGTTGGTCAGAAAGTATTTCCATCTCATAGGTTTGCAAGTTTCCCATTAATTGTGCTACTGTTTTGTTTTCCCCCGTCATGTTCTTGAATTGCCGTGACCTTCATTCTAAATCGTGGAGGGAGTGAGTGCAAGATCTTCTTGACAAGTTTAGGTTGAGAGAAAGGTTCGCCTAGAACGATTGCACGATTTGCTAGTTCCTGAACACGGGCATGGAAATCAACTATTGATTCGTCTTCTATCATTTTTAGATCTTCAAAGTCAGATTGGACCATTTGGAGTTTGGACTTTTTGACTGAGTTAGTTCCTTCATAGGTAGTTTCCAAAATCTCCCATGCGTCTTTGGCAGAGTCACAACCTGTAATAAGGGTAAACTGACTCTCATGCATTAAGGAATAAATAATATCTAAGGCTTTATTGTTGTAGTTCGCAGTAGTCATCTCAGCATTTGTCCATTCTATTTCTGGTTTGAGAACTGGAGGGACTCCTAAAGTGGCTCCATCTTTGGTATGATGAGTCCACCTAGTGAGAACTGCCCTCCAGATCATCTCCCCATGAGCTCGTAGGTGCATTTTGGTACGAGCCTTCCAGTACGCATAGTTGTCACCTGTTAATTCAGGAGGTGATCTATGTCGTTCCATTCTGCAAAACTCAATGCACAGTAAGCCAAAGAAGATTGACCAGAAAAATAGAATCAAGAACAAAAACCGAGATCTTGAGTTCAAGAAATACGAGTAAGCCAGATCGGTTAGACTAATATTTTATGTCCCCGGGCTCTGATACCAATTGAAAAAGCATGTGGATCTTGAATGCAAGAAATAACCTAAGGTTCCTATTTAATTTTACTTCAATTATTAAACAGGACTAGCTCCAGGACTACTCTAGGCAGAATAATGAACATAAAACAGAAAGCAATAAAAGGAACTGTGCACCAAGAAATGTTCACGCAGTTCGGAGCCTAACTCCTACATCTGCGGGGCCACTCACATCACATCAACCCAAATTCACTATGATAATCAGGAGTACAAAAGGAGAGTTAATTACACACTAATGTATAAACTACAACTACTCCAGAACCTACTCCAGCAGATTTGATGTGCAGGCGATCTTCTTCACTTCATGAACTCGTTGAGGCACCTTCTTCACTTCATGAACTCATTGAGGAACCTTCTTCACTCGTAGCAGTTTAGTAAATAACCAGATCAAAGGGAGAAATAATCTCAGTGTATATGCTTGTTAAAGTGCAAATTAAAATGCTAATAAAAAGTAGCATTTTATAGAGGTGATGTGATGCCTTCATGATCCGAAATACTCCAGCTTTTATTTCCTCAATTTCAACTGCTTCTCTTTAAATCACCTTATGAATAGGGTCTTGACTGAAATAAAGTGTTGAATGAGTTTCACTTCTTCTGGCTTATCTCCGGGCGCTGATCCAAACTCAACTACTCCAGACGCTAGACTAATCCGGCAACTAATCAACTAACTATTTTGACAACTAATTTAAGTCAATTTTAAGTGGGTTAATGTGTAACATTTTTTTTACACTTACAAATGGTTTAATAAGAATAATTATTATTATCAAGGTCAATAATTATTTTGTTAGCTTCCTTTCAAAAAAAAAAAATTATTTTGTTAGGTTGTTAGCTCAACATATTTTATTCAAAAATAATATTTATGTAATCAATTAATAGGATTGCCAGCATTATGGAGAGTAATCAATTAATAGGATTGCTAGAATTATGGAGTTTTGCAGTAATGAATTAGTAATGATTTTAAGTAAAATAATTATGAGTCAAAGTTTGACAAATATGCCCCCTAAGTAATATTTTCATAATCAATTATTATTATTATTATTATTATTATTATTATTATTATTATTATTATTATTATTATTATTATTATTATTATTATTATTATTATTTACCGTAATCTAACGTAATAGGAGTGCCAGAATTATGGAGAGGGTTTAAATAGAATTATTATTATTATTATTAAGGTAAGTAATTTTTTTGTTTGGCTGTTAGCTCATCATACTTTATTCAAAAATAATATTTCTGTAATCAATTAATAGGATTGCCAGAATTATGGAGAGGATTTAATAAGAATAATAATTATTATTAAGGTAAGTAATTATTTTGCTAGGCTGTTAGGCGTTAGCTCAACATTTTGTATTTGAAAATAATATTTTCGTAATCAATTAAGAGAAAATATTTGATGCACCGTCGTTGTATAGGTGCTATACAACGGCAGTAAACCAGAACACGCCACCTCATTAAATTATAAAGTCAACTTTGACTGAACCCTTTTATGCAAATTATAATAATTTTAATATAGTATAGTTATATTGCCATTAATCCACTAATATAATAGGAGCTAATAAAGTTAGACTTATAAGTTATAACGGAAACTAAATAATCTTAGGTTAGTCCAATTGTTTGTTTACCCTCTTTTATATCATTTGCTTTTCCTAAATACCCTGCATTTCGTTAATGTAAATTTTAGTAACAAAATATTTCGTTAATTATTTATTATTCTTAACTTACCTTACTCATTGATTTCAATAAAGAAGGTCTTAGGTTCGAACCCATCCCAATCACCGTTGACATAATTGTTAAATATATACTATGAATATGTTATCGTATATTAAAAAATACAATATAAAATTTAACATGAACTTTTTTCAATTAATTAGCTAGACTATATACAAAGCATTCAAAGTTGAGCATCAAAAATTATAAATAAGAAACATTGAAAATAATTTATTTGCATTGTTTTATAAACACATCTATGTTAAGTTATTTTGTTTTTCATTTTTTTTTTTCACTTAATTAATCTTCTCTTGATTTTTTAGAACAAGACTTAATATTTTAATTATATATATTTTTGCATTATTGAGAACGATTTAGGTTATTATGGTATCAAAATTTTTGTTAGTATTTTTAGAATATTACAATTGTAAATTACTTTATGAATATTGTACTATTATTTTTTATCAGACAAAATTGTTCTTACATCATTAAAGTTCCACACACACACACTTCTAATCAGGCCAGAACAATGCGTTAGGTGTGAACGTGTGGTCTATTTTTTGCCATTGATTTTGGGAGATCTGATGTGTTGGTTTTACGCGACAGGGGCGCCTATCGGCGGGCCAACACTACCGTAAATTATAAGGTCAAAAGAGACAAAGTGTTTTGTAGAGAAAAGAGCAGAGTAACGTGATGTCCTTGAAAAATCCGACCCTTTACAAGGCGACCCTGAGTGGTATTTATACAAGGAGATAGATCCTCCATAAAGTAAGGATGGAGAAAAAATAACTAAACAACCTTTGGAATCTGTCATAATTAGTGCGGTAACTGTCTAAAATAAGAAAAGAAAACTACTTGCTGAACAAGGAAGGAATCTCCATAGAATTCGCCTTCATAAATCGCTCTCTGAATCAGACTTCAATAAGATTATGACCCTGTTTGGTAAATGGCTGTTACCTGATAGCTGTTAGTTGTTAGTTGTTAGCTGATTGAGTTAATTAGAAGGTATAACTAGTTGATAACAATAGCTAATTGTAGGAATGCGTTTGGTAAATTAGCTATTAGCTGATAGCTGTTTGATATAATTTCTTTTCTAAAAAAGTTAATTGAAAAAGTTGTTTTGAGCAGCTTTTTGAATTTTAACATTTTAGAGTTGGTTTTTAACCAAGTCAAACAATTAATAGTAGTCAACTATGTATATCTTCAATTAGTAAGAATTTTCTCTCTCTATGACGATTGACCTTCCCACGAAAAACCCATCGGCGGTGGCGACTGACCGGTCGTCGGAAGACCAAGATCTCTTGGAAAGAAGCACTTGGAGGGCCAAAAGAGGTAGAGTCTCATCTGGGTCTGTCGTGGTTTCACTTCAAGGCTCAGCTGGGCAACAAACCCCCACTGGACCAGGAGCGGGCACGCCGGATTCGGCTCAGTGGAGAACTCCGACAGCATCATCGGTCCAAGCATAGGGTTACAGGCCGGTCCATCAGTCGACTGAAGATGAGGTAGTTTCGGATGACGACAGAGATTCCTATGAATACCCGGTCATCCGGGTGACTAAAGAGGAGAAAATAAGATTACGGCGCCCATGGCGGAGATCGCTCATTCTACGAGTCCTAGGAAGATCTGTAAGTTACTCCTTTCTTCTCCAGCGATTGCAAGGCATGTGGAAATTGGAGGCGGGCTTCGAGCTCATTGCGCTCACTCATGATTTCTTTATAGCAAAATTTGAAACTCTTACGGATTATGATGCGGTCAAGTACGGCGGCCCTTGGATGGTTCTTGACGACTACTTGGTCACCCAGGAGTGGAGGCCGAATTTCGATCCAAGAATTAACAAGATGGATAAACTGTTGGCATGGCTCCGATTCCCGTCTCTCCCAATAGAGTACTTTGACGACGATTTCTTGAAAAAGATTGGGAAAGTCATTGGTCGTCCCGTCAAGATAGATTTAACCACTGGTATGGCATCCAAAGGGAAATTTGCCCGTGTTTGTGTTCAACTTGACATTACTAAACCCCTTTTGTCTAATTTTGTAATCAACGGTACGGAATGGCCCAAAGAATACGAAGGGATTCATCAGATTTGTTTTAAATGTAGCATTTACGGCCATCGCATGGAGACTTGTGGCCTTAGCGTACCTATACCAGCTGCTTCTGTGGATGGCACAGCTGGTACCAGCTCGACGACTGGAATTGATATCCCACTGCCCAAACCAAAGGAGAAGTATGGGGCATGGATGTTGGTCACTAGGAGGGATCGGAGAAACCAGAATCGGGCTACACCACACCCTGGATCGTCTTTACCTGTCTAGAGGAATCAACAGGCATCGGCTAATGTCGCCCATCCGACTGTTGATGCTACTACTCACTCTCGTTTTATGCCTCTAGCGGATTTGAATGAGGTGGAGGGCGTCAATTGCCCGGAACCCCAGACTGAGTTACTAGAGGCCCAGGGTCCGATTGCAAACCTCCCTAGGATCAGGACGAACTATCGGGAAGGTCTCCTATCAACCCCCAACCAGCTGCTCGTAGTACTTTCAGAGGTAGAGGTGGCAGAGGCTATCATCCAAATAGAGCTACGGCTGAACATGAACATACTGTGGTTAGGGGCTCAGACAGGGGAAAAAACATCGCCACCTACTCTGTGTCTCATTCGGACGACTTCCATTCTACTCCCGTCGTTGCCGATTTTGAGAACACCTTCAAAGAAGTTCCTCCCGAAACTAGGTCTTGTCTGGCCTCGGCATCACCTAGCTTAATACCTTGCCAGGTAGAATCGGTGGTCCCTCAATCGGAAGCCATGCAGGAGGATTCTGGTCATTTTGACCACGCAGCTACCATATTGGAGATCCCTTCGCATCAATAGACGCTTTCTCTGTCTCTTCTTTGTTTTTGTTTATGTTTATGCTTTCTTGGAATTGTCAGGGTGCTGCTTCGCCTTCGTTTAGGCGCACTCTCAAATATTTCCTGCGTCTTCATAAGCCCTCTTTGATTTGCCTTTTTGAACCAAAGATTTCAAGAGCCCAGGCCAACGAAATATGCTCTAGTTTAGGTTTTGATGAATGGATTAGAGTAGAAGCTGTAGGCTATTCGGGAGGGATTTGGTTGTTCTGTTCTGTTTCAATTAATATTGAGATTCTCTACACTCATCCTCAATTTATTGCTTTTCAGGTCTATGATAATGTCTCTGCGCCCTGGCTTATGTCCGTGGTGTATGGTTGTCTAGACATGGCTCTAAGAAGACATTTATTTGCGGATCTTTCGTGATATTTCTTTAATCCACAAGGTACTTGGTTAGCTATGGGAGATTTCAACTCTGTTACTTGTCAAAGCGAAGTCAGTAATAAGGAAACCTTTTCCATGTCAAGGTGCACTGACTTCAACGATTGGATTTTTATGGAAGAGCTAATAGACTTAGGCTTTACGGGCTCATCTTATACTTGGATAAGGGGTCTTGATACGCCATCCTTCAAAGGTGCTCGGTTAGATCGGGCTTTGAGCAATGTGGAATAGAGCTTACGATTCCCGGACGCTAAGGTTACTCACCTCCCCATGATTGGATCCGATCATTCGCCTTTACTCATTTCCATAACCACATGCCCCCAACAGTTCTGCTCATCCAGGTTCAAGTTTAACATGGCATGGACCACACATTACAGCTTTCAAGCGTGTGTCCAGTCAGTTTGGAGAAGCGATTTGGATCTGTCAACAAATAAATCTGCAATGGTTGAGGCTCTCTCAGTTTGGAGTAGGGACTCCTTTGGCAACATTCCACAGAAAAAGAGACGTCTCCTTGCTAGACTAGAAGGTGTGCAATAGAGTCTCTCGATGGGTATTAGATCTGATCTGGTTAGACTTGAACGAAGGTTAAGGAAGGAGTTGGAGGAAACGCTCTACCAAGAAGAACTTATTTGGTTTCAGCGATCAAGGGAGGAATGGATCAAGTCGGGAGACCGTAACACCCGTTTTTATCAAGTGGCGACTACGGTTAAAAGAAATCAATCCAGGGTCAGTAAGCTAGTGGATGCTGATGGTCATCTAATTTGCGATGATGGTCTACTCCTTAAGCATGTATATGACTATTTTCTGGGTCTATTCACTACTGAGGTTGATGTCAATCGAACTAATTTCTGTTATGGTTGTTTCCCTCCTCTTTTAGAAGAGGACTGGGCCTCTGTAAATGCCCCCTTCACACCAGAAGACATTAAGACAGCCCTTTTCGATATGGTCCCATGCAAGGCCTCGGGCCCGGATGGATTTACACCAGGTTTCTTCCATAAAACTTGGCCGACAGTGGGAACAAGTTTGTTTAGTTTTGTCCACCGCTTCTTCGAAGATGGGATTCTCCCACCTGGCTGCAACGACACCATTTTATCTTTAATTCCCAAGGTACAGAACCCGGAACGCATCACTCAATTCCGGCCGATAGGACTTTGCAATGTTGTGTATAAACTGATCACGAAGGTTATGATGATTCGTCTCAAGGATATGGTTAGAAAACTTGTAGGCCCCCACCAATCAAGTTTTGTTCATGGTAGGCAGATAACCGATAATACTCTAGCTTACCAGGAGATTTTGAATGCGTTCAGAACAAAAAAAGGAAGGGTAGGTTGGATGGCTTTAAAGGTTGATCTCGAGAAAGCTTACGATAGGCTCTCTTGGTGCTTCATTGAGGATACTCTCCGAGATATTGGCTTTAACCATACTGGATCAGGAACATTATGTGCTGCGTTACTTCTCCCCGCCTAGTAGCTCTCTGGAATGGGCAGCTCACAGATTGGATTTCACCAAGAAAAGGACTAAGACAGGGAGACCCTATTTCCCCCCTCTTATTTGTGTTGTGTGCCGAGAGACTGAGTCATATGGTGGATTCCTCTGTCAGGAGTGGAAATTGGAAAGGGGTTAAAGTTACTCGTATTGCTCCTAACATGTCTCACCTATTTTTTGCAGATGACCTGGTCTTTTTTGGTGAAGCCAACTCCATCCAAGCCTTGGAAATGAAGAAATGCCTCGATCTATTCTGCTCATGCTCTGGACAGAAGATTAACTTGCAGAAGTCATCACTCTTCTTCTCCAAGAACACTAATCTCGGGACTCAGCAAAATATAGCAGCAACCTTAGGAATTCCCTCTGTCTTGGACATGGGCAAACATCTGGGTCTGCCTTCGATTCATGGAAGGCTGAAGAAGGATTCCTTTGACAACATCTTGGAGAGGATTAAGGCACGCCTCTCTGGCTAGAGCTCTAGGACACTCTCTCTAGCTGGCTGACATGTCATGGTCCAATCTGTCTTATCTGCGATCCCGTATTACTCTATGAAATCCACGCTTATTCCCTCTGGTGTAATCGATTCTATCGAAAGGTTGATTCGTGGTTTCCTTTGGGGCAGTAGAGAGGGAAAAAACAAGTGTCACCTGGTGAAATGGGGGATTGTCACTAACAGTAAAGCTAATGGGGGTTTGGGCATCAAAAGCCTAAAGCATATGAACCTAGCCTTCTTGGCAAAACTAGCATGGAGACTCTCTCAAGATGGAAACTGCCTTTGGACCAACCTTTTTAAAGCTAAATATGATTTTGACCCCTCTGTTTGGTCCTCATGGCAGCCTAAGAGGAATAGCTCGAACGCTTGGAAAGGGATTCTCCAAGCTCTTCATATTTTTCGAAACGGTATCAAGTGGCATGTGAGGAATGGAAGAGCCACTCGTTTTTGGCTTGATAGTTGGTTACTGGATAGACCTTTATTTGAAGAAGCCTCTGCTCCCATTGCCCCATCCTCTCTCAACAATCTGGTGGCAAACTACTGGATCTCAAATGAAGGATGGGACTGGGATATGTTAGACCGCGTTCTCCCTGAACATATCTTAAACAAGCTCTCTACTTTTGTTCTCCAAGAAGATACACTCTTGGGCGATCGTTTAGTCTGGTATAAGGAGCCCAATGGACTTTTCTCGGTTAGTTCAGCCTACGAGTTAGCATTAGAGACACAGGAGGGGGCTGAATCTGTGAAATGGAAAGCTATTTGGAAATTTAAACTCCCAAGCCGAATCTGTATGTTCCTATGGTTGGTCAGACATGACAAAATTCTCACCAATCAGAACCGAATGAGACGTAGACTTACAGATAACGAAGATTGCTGGTTCTGTGGTAACATTGCTGAGGATACGAACCATGTTTTACACTTTTGCCCACTAGCTGAGGAAGTCTGGAAGTCTGTACTGCCACATTTCCATGCAAGCTCGATCCATCTTCCCCTTGTGCACTGGCTGGACAAAGGGATTGCTGTGAAAGATCACGGAAGGAATCCAGCGAGCAGCAATACTACATTTGCGGTGACAGTATGGTGGCTTTGGAAATGGCGTAACGAAGCCATTTTCAGAGGTACAACCAAGCCCTTGATTGTTAAGCGGTCTCTCATATTATCTCAGGTAGATCAGATCAACTTGTCCTTTGCAAGATCGAATTGCCCTTCAATGGTGGAGAATCCTTCGGTCTGGAAACTGGTCGCTTGGAACAAACCCCCACCAGGCATACTCAAGATGAATTTAGATGGTGCTGTTCCTATTCACTCTTTTAAAGCAGGCTGCGGCGGAGTAATCAGAGACTCGACTAGATCTTGGAAGGAAGGATTCATAGCCAAGCTGGGGTGTTGCACTCCTTTGGAGGCCGAATCTTGGGCAATTTTGAAAGGTATTCAACTAGCTTAATTATGCTCGCGGTTTCAAGGAGGTGATTTTTGAAAGTGATTCATGTGAAGCTGTGGATCGGAGTTCTTGAATAATTCGCGAACCCCCTGTATAGCTGCTCATAACGTTCTTGAGGCATGTAAAACGGAGCTTCGTGCCTTCAACTTCTGGCAGATATCAGCTATCAACCGTGAGCAGAACCGAGTGGCTGATGCACTAGCAAAGATGGCTCTCAACCATGATTATGGCCTTCTGTCTCTCACTGACCCTCCAGATGAGGTTGGCGCTCTACTTGAAGACGATATTGCAAGCCTTCCTTCATGGCGTTTTACGCATAGTTTGTAGTAGCTTATGTCTATCTTCCCTTCTTTTTGGGTCTCCCCCTTCCTTCTCATATAAAAAAAAAAAACAATTAATAGTAGTCAAATAAGTCAAAATTGACCGATAAGTTAATATTTTACCAAACAGGTATATCTTACTTGCATCGAGATTCCTTGGGTCAGCCAGAACTCAAGAAACCGGGAAGGGACATCACCAAGTATCCTGTACCCGACTGTATGTGCAATAGCAGCAGCAGCAGCAACACAAGTCATTCTTCTGTCTAGAAATCTCATTCAACATCTAAATCC